CTTGTGGTAAAGATTTTAGGGAACCAGAATTTTTTAAAGATTTATTTAATTTTATTTATTACTATTGTTATTTTTTAAAATTTACTACAGGGCATGTTTACTCCCCAGAAAGAAAGAGAGAGAGAAAGCAAGCTGCCAAGTCCAGGACTTGAACTGCAGTCAGCCATGTGGGAGTCCAGTGCCCCAAGCACTATGCCACCTGCTGGCCCAGGAAACCAGCATGTTAATAAGCAAACAGCTGCTAAAGCTTGAATATAAAGCAATATTTACTTCAATCAAGATTTATAACAGATTCACTGCTGCAAGGTAAATTGGGCAGGTGAGTGTTTATTTTTTCTCTTACTTACTATACTAGGGGACCAACCCATGGCCCTTTGGTTAAGGGAGGTGGATCCCACATGGCTGACATAGCATTTCAGTTCCTGGTTCTGGTGGTTTGAAAAACACACTGGGCATATGTGTGTGTGTGTGTGTGTGTGTGTGTGTGTGTGTGCCCCAAATCCTGGCAGGATAGAGAAATGAAGGGATTGTGTGACCATGTTGCATTGGGGGTGCTTTCTCCTTCTCCCCCCCACCCCCCTTTTCTCTTCCTCTTTTTCTGGTGAATATGTGTGTCCTCTGGCATTAAGAAAGAAAGTACACTAAGTATTATTTGAATGTGCCATAAAGAGCCTTCGTTGCTTTTGTGATTAAAAAGAAAGAAAGAAAATTAGTCAAGGACAAAACTAGAAATCAGTCCCATTGTGAACAAACACTTGCCTGCCACCCGTTGACTCCACAGCTGAACAAAACAGGCAGTTTAAGGTGTGGTTTTATTAGTCTTCCCAACACTCATTTTTGCTTTAAATAACTTAAACCAAGTGACCCAGCTAACACAAAGAACAAGTAGAAGTAAGAGCTTTAAACAGATAGGGAAAATAAAAAAAAAAAAAAAAAAAAAAAACCCTGTGGTAAATGTTTAACATGCCACACACAGAGATCCCAGCATTATTCTGTTTGTTCTGCCTCCAAGTTTCCAAGGAGGTACCTGCCTCCTCAAGTCTCTGCCTTCAGCAAGAGGTCCTGGAAGGCATCAGGGTAAGAAATAAAGGGACAGAGGATGATCATTTTAATAGCTGCCATTACTGAGTGTTTTCTTTGTGCCAAGTTTATATTAAATACTTTATGTCACTTCTCTTAGTTAATCCTTAAAATCAAGAATTAGAAGGCAGTACCAGCACATTTCCACTTACTTGTGTTAGCCAGAACTAAGACACTGGTATGACTTAGGTATGTCATAGGGTTCTTGATTATAGACAACAAAGCTTACTCTAGGTGACTTCAACTAGCTAGAGTTTCTTTTTCTTATCTCTCTCTTTTAAGATTTATTTATTTCATTTTATTCGTTATTATTATTATTATTATTATTATTATTATTTGGAGAGATTTTCGCTATAGGGCACGTGCGCTCGCCAGACAGAG